CGGGGAACAGGTAACTCCTCTCCCCCGCGCGCGCTTCCTTGTTTTCGGCTTTCATTTGGATAACAAACCCTCCAACCCCCGGATCCTTAGATATTTCCAGCCGTGCTTATTTTAGCAGACATTTCTGTTTATATATGTCTGCAGTTAGCCTAGCCAGCAGCCTCACAGCTGCCAGTATTTCACTAAAAAAAAAAAAAAAAAAAACCTTATTTCTTTTTATTTTTCTTCATTTTTATAGATTTCACTGCTTTTGTTAAATGTTGCTGGGTTTTTCCCCAGTTCTCTCAGGATAACCTCCCTCTATCTGTTTATGTATCTTGAGTCATCTGTGGTTTTTTTAAGAACACAGATTAAGGTCTGTGATGATCATATTTCCTGCCTCAGAGTTTATCTGATGGTTTAGAGCAGACTGAGGCTTGGAGATGTCAGGATTATGCTTATGTAATGCTTCTGTGGGGATGGTATAAATAGCACACACAACAGGGAAGAGGGGAAAATGGGGGGCAGCTGTTGGAGCTGCTGCTACAGTTAAAGTTAAAGTGTTTTTAAGGAGCTGAAGGTATAATCTGCCCTTCTTACTGTGCATCCAGATAACCAGTTGTTTGCAGGGCTTTTAGAAGTTGCCTTCTGCTGTGAGATAACCATAACTCACACCAAGACTCTTCAGATGATCCACTCCTTCACGTTTCTGCATAGTTTTAGCCTTAACAATGCAACCTTGATGTGCTTTATTGGGATTTACGGTGCATTGTTTAGAGGAGAGATATACCGGTAAATGGATTATTTCCCCACAGCATGATGGTGTCACCCCCGTGTTTTATAGTGGGGATGGTGTCTTTAAGCTGTTGGATTCCAGAATAGTTTACAAATGAATGTCTGTTTGTGTTTAGCTCATGTAATACTGTGTAGATGGGAGTCTCTCAGCAAAGACCTTTAACCCCACACTGCTCCCCAGGCACCGCACGATGGCAGCCCACTGCCCCCCAAGGGGATGGGTTAAATGCAGAAATCAATGTAAGATCAATTAAGTTCAATTATTATTATAATAGAACCTGGGTTTGTCTCCACTAGCTTCAGCTTGTGCCCATTCTTCTTTGCAAAATAGGTGAGCATTATTTAATTTTTTTTACTTCTCCTCACAATTTCTGGATTGGATTGAGTTTGTTCCACCACAGGGATTTGCTTTGAATTGAAACCATTCCATAGTAGCTCTGTTTAGGGAAGATGTTTCTTTATTTTCTTTCATCTGTTGTAGCCTATAACATGATTTCTCTATGGATTTACTCATGTCTGATCAGCTTCACCATAAAAATTCCCACAGCATGATGCCACCGCCACCATGATTCACAATGGGTACCATGTGTTCAGCGTTTATGTGTTCATTTACCAAGCAACTTACCATTTGCACTGATCTTCTGTTTTGGTCTCATCAGATTTAAAAAAAATAAATTAAAAATATATTTTTTATACTAGCAAAACTTCTTAAAGCTTTTTTTTAAGCCTAGATTTTGTCAACAAATCCCTAACCTTAGCTGTTGAACTCCTCTAGAGTTACCCAGAGCCTCCGGACCTCCATGTATCGTCATCTTTACACGAGCTGCAACATAAAATGCATATAGAAAACACTGGAAGTAGTTGTTGTAATCTGCCAAGCTGAGAGTTTAGGGTGGGATTACACTCAGAAGGTTCTCTAGAAGAAGCTGCTGTCTGTTTCAGAGATGAACTTATCTGTCCTTATCTCTGTGCTCTCCTCCCTTCCCGCGCTGTAACATCCAGGCTCTCAACAGGGGCATAGCCACCGTCAAGGAGGACACGGTGGAGATGCTGGCCAGCTATGGCTTGGCTTACTCCCTGATGAAGTTCTTCACTGGTCCCATGAGCGACTTCAAGAACGTGGGCTTGGTGTTTGTTAACAGCAGGCGCGACCGGAGGAAGGCTGTGCTCTGCATGCTGACAGCTGGAGTCATCGCTTTCACCCTCCACATCTTGATAGGTGCACATTTATTCTGTTCTGTTGACAGCTTTATTCCTCTAGGAAAATTTGGAATAGGAGATTTTTATTCTGCTAATATATCGTTTCTATCCCATTTTTTTCCCCTTCAGCTTACACAGATTTGGGATATTACATTATCAATAAACTCCACCATGTGGATGAACCTGTTGGGAAAAAGACAAGAAAGGCGTTCTTATACCTCGCTGCATTCCCTTTGTTGGATGCAATGGTGAGTGTTTCAGAAAAACGCAGGATTAAGCCACACATGACCTAGAAAGGTTTTTATCCTCTGTCATGTTAGTCACTTTAATAGAAATTTTCTTTTTTTTGCGTCTGAAAATAACCTTTCTGTCCACCTGTTTTGGCCTCCAGGCATGGATCCATGCAGGCATCCTCCTTAAGCACAAATACAGCGTCATTGTGGGCTCTGCCTCCATCTCTGATGTTGTGGCTCAGGTAATGAGTAGCTTTGGATCTTTTTCATTTTATTAAAAAAATCTAATTACCGGTAAATTTGGGATTTTTACCAGGACTGAAAACATGGACAAAAAAAATGATAATTCCTGATCTAATACCCTATCCTGTTAACCTAACGCTCCATCCATTCTTCTGTGTTTTAAGCTTCACAATAACAGGAAATCATGAAACGATGCTATTAAAAGCTGTGTTGATGATATCAGCTGCAATAGATCAAAGTTTCCTTTACTTATCCTCACTAATCTATCCTGGAGCTCTTATCAGTCAGCTTACTGTAGGACGACTTCATTTGATTGGCTGAATGTTATTCTCTGATATTTAAAGGTATAGTGTAGGATTTTCTTTTTCCGGGTGGATCCTCAAAATAAGTGGTCCTCGTAATTGTCCATCATTCTGCTGATATGTTTGGAGAGGGTTGGTCTTTTCAAAAATTCAAGAAAATCCTCCACTATTAAGTGCTTAGCCAGGAATATTACTTCCAAAAATGTGTTGTTTTTATAAAAATCAGTCATAAGCTGGAAATAATCTTGGGCTTAAATCTGTGCCTCATATATTTTTAATGTCGTCTTGCATCCTGCAGATTGTGTTCGTGTCTATTTTCCTGCACAGTAACTTGGAATGTGTGGAGCCGCTGCTCATTCCGATCCTTTCACTCTACATGGGTGCTATGGTCCGCTTCAGCATCGTCGGTATCGGCTACTACTGCAACATTCATGACATCATCCCAGAGTCCAGCGGGCTCGACGTTGGGGTACCCTCTGTCTCTCTTCCAATGCAGTTTATACCTGATGTGAATGATCAAAATCAGGTTAAAGATCGTTCTTTTAAATGATATATTTTCCTCTCTGCAGGGTGACGCTACAATCAAAAAGATGCTGAGCTTCTGGTGGCCTCTGGCCCTCATCCTGGCCACGCAGCGCATCAGTCGACCCATCGTCAATCTCTTTGTGTCCCGAGACCTCAAGGGGTCCGAAGATGCCACGAAGGTGCGTCTCATTTACATCTTATAGTCAAACCTGCGCCTCTTTGTGTTTCTGTTCCAACTTTAAGATAGATTTTTTTCAGTAAAGCTGCCACTGAGTCCCTTCAAAACTGTAAACATTGGTTTTACGGCTGGGTTTGGATCCAGCCGACCAATTTTCACAGCTTAGAGAAACTCCGTCTGGAGCTTTCTGGCTCATACGACCAGCACAGCTACTAGAGGCAAGACAAAGCTGTTTACCACAACGAGCTGACTGACAACACAGGCTGCCAGCGGTTTGGGTGATTCACCGCATAGATGGGAAACTCAGGGCATGATTACTCTGCTCCAGAACATTCCTGCGTGGCTCTGCTGTTCCTGCCTATTGTTGCCAGCGACAAAACAGTGAGCCTCAAGGCCGCCGTCCAGAGATAAATCCCTGAAAACTTGTGGGGAAAGTGAGAGGCACACATGCTGCTCAGGCTGGCTGTTGTTAGGCTCCCGGGATGGATTTAGCCGGGCGGTATTTTTAGATTTAAAGCGGCGGCGCGTGGATGACTTCTACCTGTCCTGTGTTTGTCATTGCAGGCCGTGGCCGTGCTCACAGCCACATACCCTGTAGGTCACATGCCCTACGGCTGGTTAACCGAGCTTAGAGCAGTTTACCCTGCCTTTGACAAGGTAAACCAGTCTCTACAATGTTTACACTGGGTTATGTATACATTAAGGGAAGATAAGAGCCTATGTGACGATGTGACCCTTTTCCTGCAGAACAATCCAAGCAACAAGATGAACGCTGGCAGCCCGGTGAACAAGACGCACATTAAAAAGTTTACCTTCTGCTGTTTGGCCCTGTCGCTCACGGTAAGAGGTTTCTTTCAGTAGGGAAAAGTTTTCACACCCTTTAAAACTTTACACCCCCTTTATTCGATATTGCAAAAAAAAAAAATTAAAATAAATAAATAAATATATATATTACAAATAAAAACAAAAATTTGTGCCCCAGCATGATGCTGCCACCACCGTGTTTTAGTTTGGTACATTGAATCTCATTTTACCACAGCACTTTCTCATCTTTTCACATCTTGGATCTCCTTTAGATCTGTGCAGCTCTTCCAGCGTTACCTCAGGCCTCTTGGCTGCTTCTCTGCTTAAGGCTTTCAGGATAATGCAATTAACAGAGTATTCTGAGATATTCAAAGTTTGAGATGTGGTTTTATAACATGCAGCTGCTCTTTCAGCTTCCTCTGACCTGTCTGCTGTGTTTCCTTTGTTCTCTAATGTTCTCCGCCAAACTGAAGTTATTAATATTACCTTAACGTCATTTTTATTTTTATTTTTTTATTTTTTTATTACAGTGCAGCGCTGCAGTTGTTTCACGGAGTCTCATATGCATTGTATTCATTAAAACTAATGAAATAATTAATCAGATCAATCGATTATTGACGTAATAGTCAACTAATTTAGTTATTGATTAATTGTTAACTGTAGTATAGAGACTGTAAAATATGCTTTTAGCTGTCAGACCAACCCACATAGGGCTCTAATTATATCAAAATTGTAAAAAAAAATATATAAACATTTTGCATTTTAAGATGAAAAGAAAATGTTTTTGTCTGTCAATGTGCTTTATCCAGAACTCCTCAAGTGGAAAAGTTTTAGTTCACCTGCATTCATTTAGTAAAAAAGCCTCTCTGAGGAAACTTTGACTGTCTTATGATTAATTGATTAATAAAAAAAAAAAGTCATCAGATTAATTGATGTGCAAAATAATCGTTAGTTGCAGCCCTAATTGAAACTTTGTATTATTTAGATTATTTGGTCATTTAGATGGAGCTTTACTGCCATTTTCTGCCTCTCAGTTGATCAGCAGAGCTACTGACCAGTCAGGAAGTGGTTTTGGGACATTCGGGATAATGGGGATGACGGAGAGTACTGATGAAAAACTGCATTATACAATTTCAGTATCGACACAAACCGCATCCTGCTGTCCTAATGGGGAAAAAAAATCTGATGCATTTGATGAAAAATGTGTCAAAAACAACCCAAGCTACTTGGAGAGCAGGATATTCATCAGTTTTAAATCCCCCTAGTAAATACTCCTTTAAAATACATTAGCAGTTGGACCCAGTTTTTTAAAGGTTAATCTAAACAACTAAAGGTGCTTCTGCTGTTGTCATTGAGCATGTTGGTGATTTCTGATTAAAACACGATCCACAATGTTACTAAAAGCTTATTCAGATGTTAGTCAGTATGTTAAAAACATTTCTACACCCTGCCCTGCAGGCTCAAATGTCGACCGGTTTAAAAAATCGAAAGCATCTCAGAATGTGAAGGCGACACATAAACAGAAAAGCATGTTTTGGCAGCTTGTAGGAGTTCTTTAACTTTTAACCTCTTTACATGTTTAAAGTTGCAGACTTGGGACTTGTACATGTAGCCTGACAGGGGTAAGAGTTTTTCTTTACAAGCTTTCCATCAAGTAGAGCAATGCGTCTTCATGTGGTCTTAAAAATACCATCAGACTCCCTTTAACTGGATGGCCACAGTGGGCCTCAGGGATTGTTGTTGAGTCTCAGAGTGATTTTATTGGATGTAGGCAAAGGAACAACTTTCTAACTGGTGGAGTCGTTTCCTCATACTCTAGCCCTGATGTTTGTCAGGTTTACAGTTGTTTTTGTGTGCGAGTCGACTGGCAGCATATATTCTTACGACTCGTATAACCAGTTAGGTGCTATGCAGAAACATGTTGGAAATTCTTCTTTCTAGTCCGCTTTTGATGTGCTTGGTGGAAAACAAACTCAGGGACTAGATTATATATATTTTTTTCACCTTCCTGCTGTGCATTTATGTTCATAGATGGAGAACTTGAGTGAAACGGACAATTTGCAAATGTTCTTTTTAATTGTCTTTTCTGTGTTCTGGGATTGCAGACCTGCAGATTTAAACTTTAATCCCACCTAAAAAGTCTCTGTTCAGTTTTTGCAGCCATGATAACCATTGCACCTCAGGGCCTCTTCTTGTCCCTTTAATAGCATGCAAATGCACAACAGGAAATCGTTGGCAGTGGTTTAAACTTTTAAAAGGAGGAGGAGGAGAGTGGCACGCCAGATGTGGAACCTTAAAGCTGTAAACAACGACATGAGGGCATGTGCAGATACTGCCTAGATCAACATGATCCCCTCATGTCTGAACTTGCAGTGACAGTAGATTCATGTGAGGTATTCCAGGAAAAAAATAAGTACTGCAGAGAAGGAGTGTATCCGACAGGGGAGGAGAACAGCATGGAAGGTGTAACTCATGAGAACAGCCTGTTTAGGATGTCTCAGCTTGTTCAGGAGATGCCGCAGTTGACTCAGTCTGGTGTGACTGTATCAGGGTAAAATAATCATAGCTGGTGAGGTGAGGCTAATCTACGTCATTAGCAGGTAATCTCTTGCCATGTTTTGGTTCAGGAGATCAAAAACAATGTCAGACCATCTTTAAATATTTCCACAAGCCTCAACTCTTCAACTCACATGGAGCTCTAACTGGCAGCTGGGCAACAGAAAATGTTCCTTCAGACAGCCTTGGGGAGACATTTTTGGACGGACTTTAAGCATTCTCTCCTCCAGAGTTTCCACTGTCGACTCATGTCCTTTCAGTGTCTCATATTTTCAGTGCCGTGAAGAAGACGCACAGTTTACAGGGTCCTCTCTCCTGCATGGGCCTCTGGTGTAACACACCTGATTGAAATTGTAGTATTGCTTCCTAAGCTGCCACCAAGCACTGCAGAAGTCTTTTAATCAACAAGTCATTAAAGTCTGGTGTGTGGCTGCAGGAAAACACCTAAAACATGCAGGATGGAGGAAACACTGGGTTATTTAGCAGCCATTTTTTTTTCACAGAATATTAACCTGAAAATACATTCAGTAAAATATGCACATTGATTGTACGCATTCATTCTACACAGTTAGGGTTTTTAGGTACTTTTTAGGGCTGATAAAAGTAATGTTCAGTGTTTTGATCAGTCTAACTAATCCCCTTATCGGGGATTAGTTAGACTGCCGGGGACAATTCTTTCAATGGATTCTGCTTTTTCTTCCTCTAATTACGTGATAAAAATGTCACATTGGGAACAAATTTTACACAGACCTCAGTTAAAAAAACAAAACAAAACATTTATTAACAAATTAAACATGGAAGCCAATAGAAGGAGTGCCAATATAAAGCACGGCTGCTGAATGCACTAATGAAACAGCAAATGCATGCATGTATTAGCCAATTCTGATACAAGAAAAAAAAACTCACATTCTCAACCAAAAATATCGGCCGACCAATGTATCGATCGACCTCTCCTACACTTTCCAGCTTTGATTATTTCACGTTATAGCTAATTATAATAAATTTCAATGTTCTGCATATTTAAATATTACATAACACTGACTCCTGTGTTAATCTTCGTGGTACCTAAGGAGTTTTATCAAGAGGAAGCTGGGAGACACCAGAGCCAATAATACAGACGACCTGATGGCTGTTAATTAAATAACAGCCTCCATGCCATGCTGCATTTATGAAGCAATTCATGCAAAAGGATCCCCGACCAATACAGTGCAGTTGATGCTGATACTTTTTAACATGTTGATATTTCTGTATTAAAAATCCTTTTATTGATCCTATGTTATAAACTGAAATAGATGGTTTCATAGCTGAAAGCCATAATTATAGAAATAATCAAAGGAGATATTGAACTGTTGCCTAATAAATATGCATAACACAAACTGCTGAAATAAATTAGCATTTTGATTATTGAATGTATTGCACCTGTGTAAACACTATTTCATTTTTGCATTGTTGTAGCTCTTTTTATGCAAAGAGCTGCTTTTCTCACCACTGTATCATAATTAAAGAAACGGAGGCAACGTTTGGTTTCTATGCTGCTCTGCTCTTGATTGAAACGCCCTGAAAACCTTTTGGCTCCTTTAAATCAGTATTAAGAGCATCATCTTCAGAGCTCACTCAAAAACAGGTTAGGGATTAAGAATGAAATCTAATATTAGAATTTCTTTTTTTTTTCTCAATGTAATGCTTCCTAGAGTGTAGATATTCTGTTGTTTTTGTTTTTTGCATTTTGTCTAAGAATTGGATTGCCTGCTGTATGAATATTCATCTGACCAACCTGCAGAAATCATCTGCTCACCAGTGGTAATGTGATGCTCACTGCAGCAGTTGTTGAGATACCATGTCCTGCCTCTGAAGCTGGGCTGCCATTCTTCTGCGTAAAACGATCTCTTTCATGGACAGCGACTGTTTGCGGTTCCGTCTGAGGGTTCCTGACACAGAAATGTTTTATTCATGTTAGATCAGATAGCTTTCACATCTGTCGCCCTGATCGCTTCGCTTTGAGGGTCGATGCTAATGCGACACGTGCTCGAACAGCCCTCTCTGGAAACCAAAATGTTGGTTTCCGGCTCGCTTGCTTTGTGAGCGCTTCAAAGGCCCACATTCAGCTTCAGTGTTGTCTAATAAAGTGTGCTGAACAACAGATAATTTGCGTTTGTTCTGACGTCTAGCTTTGTTTCGTGCTGTTCTGGAGCCCACATGTGTCTGAGAAGATCCTGGTGGACATCATCGGAGTGGAGTACACCTTTGCTGCGCTCTGCGTGGTGCCGCTGCGGATCTTCTCCTTCTTCCCTTTGCCTGGTGAGAGCTATTGAATTTCTTTCCTCATCATTAACTGTTGGAGGTTTATTTCAGTTTGCTGATGTCTCCTTTGTCTCGTTTGCAGTGACTGTCCGGGCTCATCTGACTGGATGGCTTATGACCCTGAAAAAGACCTTCGTCCTGGCGCCAAGTTCGGTTCTCCGTATCGTTGTCCTGATCATCAGCCTGGTTGTGCTGCCTTATATGGGGTAGGTAACCGGCACACTGTGTGCAGGAGGCCACTCAAGGTCAGCTCTAGATGCCGAAGATAAGGAACTTTTACTCTGGTACACAGAAATAAGATAAGGCATCGGATTAAAGTAATTCTCTGTTCTACAGGGTCCATGGGGCCACGCTTGGTGTCGGGTCCCTGTTAGCCGGTTTCATCGGGGAGTCAGCGATGGTTGCCATAGCAGCCTGCTATGTTTACAGACAGCAGGTGAGAACATGAGAACTTGCTCTACATTTTGTTATCATCTACCATCCCTACTCTGAGTGTGCCGTTTTAATTAGCATATTTTTAAATTAAGGCACACATGAGCAAAACTGTTTTCACTACGAGGAAATGTAAGACTGGAAAGCTTGTTGTTTATTTTCATCACTGTTGATCATATTCAAATGATGGAAAGAATGGTCAAGTGTCCATAACAAAAAAAGGAAAAACATTCTGCTGCTGAATATATGAGGTCAGATTAGCTAGATAAAGTAGTTTAAGGAAGGATAGTTTAAAGGTCCTGCAAAATAAAAATAGAAATGAAAGAGATTTTTGGCCTCATGTCACCATTTTTCTTGTATTGGATGTGCGTATAGCAGCTAACAGGCATTGCCACTCCCTCCTTTTGCTATTCATCATCAATGTTTTCTGTGATTTGTTATGAAATGTTTTTTCTATTATCATTATTTAAATTGATTTGACTTACATTTGTCATTTTTACCATCTAACTGGTGGAATGAGAACCAATATAACCTCCAAGAATTTATCCTGAAATATCGGCAGTACATATCGGTTTAATGGCGAAATAATTGGTAACGACTTCGGCTTGAAAAACCTGCATCGGTTCATCTCTAATTAACATTCCCGGATAGCAGTTAGATATACAATTAAATAATGAAGTTCTTACATTTTTTTTAAGTAATGGAATAGTACATTTAATAGTTGAGTTTCTTTTTTTCAGTGTTTTTTGCCTCTGGTGTTGAATATTGTTCAACTGGAAGGATTTTTGCTTTTTATACATTTGTTATGATGTAAAACCATAGCAGGTGTCAACCTTGCTAAAGCTACAATAATAGAAATACTTCACCAAGAACCAGTTGAGTTGAAAAGGAGGCAGTAATGATGCAGAGAAGGAAAAAGGAGAAGAGAGAGGAACAGGAAATTCAAGCCACCTTTTCCATCAATCATAGATGTGAGATGATCTAGGAGATCTCCAAGCTCTAGCAAGGGTCCAGCCAGAATGTTGGGATTGCAGTATTAAATGTTTTACTGAAACATGGTTGAAGGAGCAGCCCCGACTCCAGCGTGTCTCTGCCAGGCTATCGGATCATACGAGCAGACAGAGATCTGAGGAAGGCTGGAAAACTCAAGGCAGGGGGGTTGTCGGTGCTTAGCCTAGAATGATTTATAATTTTTGCATTGCAGGTTTTAAACTGTAAACTGTAAGGCCAAAATTTTCTTCCATTGAATTCTACCATTTTTGCAAACTGCTTCTCTTAAGCTCTCCTGAAAGTAAGACTGAAAACTCTTTGGGGCCATAATATATATGGGAACAGTTGAGATTTATCCCGAACACTATTGCTGTACAAGTAATGGATGGAACATCAGCCCTGATGATCCTGCAGACGAATCCAATTGTATTGCGGTTTAAACCTATCCTGTATGCAGTTTGCACAAAGCAGACAGAATAATACCGTAGAAGATTACAGCAGCTCTTCTGAAAGGCTTTACTTCCTGTGTTGCAATAGGACATGGTCCTTCTTTTAAATGATGTCTATGTGTGAATGCTACCCAGGACCTATAAGTATTCCCCTGGGGACACAGTGCTGTCGAGGATGATGAGGGTAGGCAGTGTTTAGGGTGTTCTCCTGAGGTCCACCAACCTCTCCACCTTTCTGAGCAGGTTAAGCTAAAGTTGGTTCTGACGACACCATTGGACCAGCCAATACACTTTCTGTATGTATGCTGACTAATCATTATCGCAGTGGCCTATATTAGCCCAACAGTGGTGCTTATGGTTCATGTGATGAAGAAGAAGCCTCACTTATTCCAGGTTATAGTGATCTGTTTATTGGTGAAGGCCTTCTCTGCGAGTTTCTGGTGGAGAATATTCAGGTTTATGGTGTTTAAAGCCAAACTAAAGTCCACAAACAGAACCTGTTCTATGCCATTGGGTGTTCATGGTGGTGCAGGATTAAATGTGGTCTGAAGTTGACTGCAGCATCTGCTGACCTGTTTACCCAGTAATAAACTGAAGGGGGTCCAGGTGGGGGCCTGTGATCTGCTTCAGATGTTTCAACACCAGTTGTTCAAAGGATTCTATGGCAAAATGTCTGCATTTAGCCCTTTGATGGTGTATTTATCAGGGATCGGGATAATACGGGAGGACTTAAGGTAGGAGGGAACCCCAAACAGCACCAGACATGAGGGGAGACATTGTCAGGTCCTGGAGATTTCCTGGTCTACTTATACTGAAACTGCGCATTATCCTCCTCAGGGATCCAAGGAAGGAGGGTGTGTTGGTCCATGCAGAGCTTATTTGGCAGAGTGGGATGTGAAAGAGTTTATTAGAGGAATGAAGGGCTGCTTTCTGGGGTCTAGCTGTTGAGATGTCTACTAGATAAAGGTTGGGCTTGCTCTCCCTTTGTAGTGATATTTTCTTAATTTTGATATCAAGCAGCCGTGTTTTAGCTTCAAGCTGTAGCTTAGCGATGTTCTGTCAGATAGGCATACCCTGTCAGACCAGCATACACATAGTCAATACCCATTTATCTCTTTAGTTTATCACCGCGTATACCTTTAGACTTTTAAATAGACTTTAAACTACCTCAACGGGCGTTAGTCATCTACAAAAAAAATACTTTATTACTTTTTGGTGTTATATTGAAGTGTGTGGTGATCTGACCTTAAAATGTTTTTTGTGCGACTAAAGGGATAAAGGGACCCCTTGAGGTAGTTTAAAGTCTATTTTTTTGTACAAAACTAAAGGGATAAACGCAAATCTAACATCTTGCCATGCGTATTGACTGTGGGTATGCTCATCTGACAGAACAGCGGCCCTTTTTCTCCTTGGCCAGATTGTTCCTGGCTTGCCTATACAGCCAGGACCCATGCAGCCTCAAATGTAAATGCTTTTTTGTTGTTGTTTGTATGAAGGGTCTTAGGCTACACAGACACATCCTCACTATTTATGTTAGAAGTCCCAGTTATAACAAGTTCATTTAATTCATTGGATGGAGCTTCAAAAACACTCCAACCTGTGCAATCAAAGCAGGCCTCTAGCCTCTGCTTTGACTCATGTGTCCTCCTCCCATCAGTCCTGACTACAGGCTCAGAAGTGTTTAACTTCTGCCTGTATTTTGGAATGAGATCCGGAAGATGGTGATAAGAAAGTACCAGATGTGTCCCGTTGAAGAGCATCTTGTAAAGCTGTCGAACTGATCCAGTTTGTCTGTAGCACAACAACCTTTAAATCAAAGCAGATGTCAACTCTAACTTTTTCAGTGAAAGCTACAGGCTGCAGTCTGCCCAACAGCAGGAAGCCTGGTATCTGTGCGTCATCTGTGGTGTGCTTCCTTAGCCAGGTTTTGGTGAAACAGGGTGGTAGACATACAGAGGTTTTATTTTCATAGTTTAAAAGCAACTCATCCATTTTCTTTTTTGTTTTGTGTATGTGTGTGTAGATAGAGGCAGACGTTAGCCAGACTGGGGAAGTGCAGAGTCACTGTTGCTTTACAAGCAGCTTTGCCCATTAGACTCATCTGTGTCTACAGTAAATCCCACAGAGAGCTGCTGCGCTGCCAGTAAACATATTAGGAAAATTGATGTTGGTGAAAAATATTCAAAGAAAATTCACAGATAGATGGTCTGATGTGTGTGCGCTTTTCTTTTATGAAGCAATAAACTCCCAAAAAAACACCAATATTTGAAAATGAAGAAAGTGATCCTACCTAAATTTGGCAAATTCAGTTCTTCTGTTTTGGCATGAATAGACCAGCTTCAGGTAGAGAAATAATTGTGGCTAATAAATATTGGTTTTATATAGAGATTTGTTTTTTTCCTTTTGGTTTTACCTCATAGTTGGCATCAAATGTCCTCCTGTGTATAAAATTATGATTTAGCCTTTAATTTTTATAGCACATAAAACCAAATAGAACCAGGTTGTATTCAGGGATTAATACGCTATGTCATATTTTTTTGTTTTATTGTAAACGGTCGGTTCTAGCTGCAGGGTTTTTTTTTTTTTTTAAGGGTGTGTCATCAAGCTAATTTCCAAAACAAGCTATCCTTCTTTTACAAAATGTTCACTGACACACAAACTTCACCTCGAGTGTTCAGCAGTATTTTACAAGGTCGGAGAAGATGTGATAGCAGCAATTTCTTCATTTCTCAAAGATTTACAGTGAAACTAAGGGTTCAGCACGTTCTGATTTATTGTATCCTTGTGCCATATTTATTTAGCTGCTGTATTTTAAAGCTTATCTGCTGTGCAGCTGCTTTCTTTTCTTGTCACCATTTCCTTGACCTCTTAGAAAATATTTCTCATTGCTTTTTTTTTCTGTTCTCAGAGGAATAGCGAGATGTCCAACGAGCTAGTGGTGGAGGCTGACGACTCCGCTCCCATGAGCCAAGTGAGCTCCCCTAACCAGATGGACGCCATCGAGGAACTTCAGGAGGAAGAGGACGCGGAGCAGGAGTGAGCTCCTGCAGCACAGGAAGAGGACCTTGAACTTTGAAGACGGACAGCTCGGCTTTGAGCTGTAGACTAGAAAAGGGTCTGGTTGCAGACTTCCATGTATGGACCTGCACACTTTAAAAAAAAAAAACGCACACTGTAAAGAAAGCCATGCAGCTCCAGTCCATTGCTGTAAATACTGTCTTTAGTTAGCCTGTCCTGTTAGCTGGGTGTGTACTCTTCCTCACATTTTTACCGGTAAACAAGGGAAACCGACACAGGAGACCTCCTCCTCTTTAGCAGCGGGAACAACGAGCCGAATGGTTGTGGAGTTGCCAAAAAAAACTGAGTTAAATATTTCATGTAACTTTATAAAGCAGAGACCTTGCTCGGATTCAAACTCGGACACAATGTGGAACTTGTTGGGTTGTGCAATCGTATTTTACATACAACGGTGTACAGATTTTTGCTTTAATGCATTGTGTATATTTCATTGCTGCGAGGGGTCAGGAATCCCTTATCAAACCACTGTGTGTTAAACAATACGGTTCTGATGTTCCTTTTCAAGTGCAGTCTGGGAGTTGGACCCACTTTTTTTTTTTTTATTTGCCAAGCCTTTTTCCTGCTAGTATTCAGACTGTCGTATGTACTGTATATACTGTATAGGCATTCTTATTTGCAAATAAATGGATTTATTATTATTAAATCTTTGTTGTCATGAGTTGTGAAGGTATTTTTAGTAGCAATTATGTCTGACAGTTTTCTAATCTTAGGTTTAAACTTGTACATAGTTGCCTGTGTAAATCCTCAGTCATCTAGATTATGGAAACCACAAACACGCATAAATTGGAAGTCAACTAGACTTTGGCTCAGTTTTTTTAGGACATTTAGACAACGATCCAGGAGAAAGACTTCTGGAAAGAGCCATAGATACTATGACTGATCGCGATGCATTGATTATTAAAATAATCGTTTAGTAATCAACCCGTCTGTTAATATTCTCTATCCAGAACTCCTAAAGTGGAAAGGTTTTAGTTTCACCTGGTTTAATTTCATTAAAAAATCCTTCAGGAACCCTTTGCTATCAGATTATTTATCACTTAATCGGAAAAATACTTGACAGGTTATTGATTTGCAAAATAATCGTTAGTTGCAGCCCTAAATTAATCATTGGGATACAATAATTCTTCAAATGAAATGGAATGAAAATTGTACACAACCTTCTTTCAATTTAATCTCTAGTTTTTTTCAAAGCAAAATGAAAAAAGTTTTAAGGATGGTTTAAGTCACATGACATGGAACAGTATGATGACCTGTCAGTTTCCTGTGAATGTTAAATGTTTGACTATTTGTAATGATTGCTTTTCAAAAAAACTTCAAACTTTTCCAAAATGTACCATTTATTTCCATACTGATAAAAACTGACATTCATTCAAATTGTGCATCATTTCTAAGGCAACATGGATAACCAAGCGAGCCTTTTTGTTTCTTTTTTTTAACCTACAACCTGTGGCTGGTGGTTGAAGCATTTACCAGCTATTTGTCTTTTTTTTTGCAGCAACATTGGTATGTTCCCTCTTTTCTGAACAGCTTGGTTAAAGGCAACATGTTAGTCACTGTGTTTGACACGCACAGAACATACGACAGTTACAAATCACGCCTCTGACACAGAAGCTGCCATTAATCCTCCGAGTCTTCTCATCATCATCTGGAATAAGTCCATCAGCAAACCCGTCATCGACTAATTCAGCCGTCTTAAATTAAACTTTCACACTCATTTAAAGTACCTCTTTCCCCCCACCCCCAACATCAAAACAATAAATTAACAGAAAAAGATCCAGTGCAAGCATTATAAATTCTGTATTTTTGCCTTTCGTTGCTTTCCTTAATTGACCACCCAATCTGGATTCAGCTGGAGTGATCTTAGAAAACTGGATTTGTACGCGTACCAAAGGTAGAAAAACAAAACTCTTACAGTACAGTGCATACAAGTGTTTGGAAAAACAGAAACATCTTGTACAGGGTCTCGAGTCACCGTATCTTTAAAACGACAGGGTTACATTTTGAGATATATGCTTTAGAGTCAGGAGACAGTTGGCTCAGATTATAGGCAAAAAACAAAGCAAAGAAAACCTAACAAAGGATTCAGCTAGGTGCTGTAAAGATAGACAAAAATGGGAGCAAATACTGATAATCCTGGTTTTAATCCATGTCCTTCTGATCTACTTTATGGCAGAACTAAAATCTTCAGACTTTATTGTTGTAGATGAACCTCACTCTGTTTCCCTGGGTTTTTAGGGAAGTACCTAAAATACAAGCACAAATAACTATGGCACAGTAAAAATAAAACAACCTTATGGCAAAAAAGAAAGGAATGCTACAAGTGCTCTAATGTGACGCAACCTAAATGATTTTGTTATAAATGTCAAACATGGAGATCTCCTCTCCCTTAGGTGGAGAATCTGTGATTTTTTCCAGGTGTGACCTCTAGAAGCATATATCCCAGCATGTTCCCTGTAGTTGGCATAAACGTGTCACTCTGTTCGACCTGAGGGGCGTTTGTACAGCATAGGCTTTTCCCCCGCAGGGCTAATCAGCTGGAGGGGAGCTCCTGGCAGGGATCAGCAGCTTCTACCACCGGCACGTTGTAGTGGCGGTCGTCCTCCGTGACGAGGCACACGGAGGGCCAGTCATCCCTGTGGTCGTCTGGGTAGAAGGTGACGAACTCCTCCGTGTTGGCTTTGTAGAGTCTGTAAACCTGAATGGTGTGCTGCAGGGCGTATCCCAGTAGGAACATCTCCACCTGCACAAAAAAACAAAGATAATTGCACAGCTCCAAAAGCACAAAAAAAAAAGAATCAAACAGCAGCATGTTTAATCAGCTGCCCAAACACACAATAATTAGTGGGTGGAGTGTCATTGAGGAGAGCGTACCTGCAAAGGCTTTCATTAATGTATTGCAAATAATTATATCCTCTATAAGGCCAGCTCTAGCTCAAGCGCTGGCATGTTTTACTGATCAGTTTATAAAAATACTCCTCCTGTTCTGACAAACAACCCTGCTGCTTTTATTCGTAGCTCTGGTTTTATTCAAATGTATTCAAAAGCTGGGAAAAAGTACCAGGGTTGTTTGCGTATTGCTGAAAAACGCAGAAGAAGAATAAAATACAGAGAAAACAAAGAGTTTGTCGATGTGTTCTACCTGCTCCAGCCCGGCGCTGAGGCCCACATAGCTGAGGTGGTTGGACAGGAAGGAACGCGGACAGTCTGACGAGTCCCGAGCAAACAGCAGCCAGCAGAAGAGAGGGACGTCTTCCCCCACCTGCATGCGGCCGTGCAGCTCAGACGCCCTGCCCAGCATCAGCAGCTTCAGCGCCTCAAGCATCCCGAGCTCCTCCTCTTCGCCCTGGAACAAACGCTCACAGAGCTGCTGCCGCGCCGCGGCGCCGGGACAGTCTGCCGCCGCCTTCCACTGGACACAAATTAGAGAAGTGAACAAAACTCAGGCTATGACTGTAGGTCCCTGAATGAGACACTGTGTACATCTCACTGCTCCCTAAGGAACCCGCAATATTTTGCTTTTATATGCAACTGAGACACCATGAAAAATTGCTAAGGAAATATTCCTCTTCAATATGCAGTTTCTTTAGTTCTAGGAAAGCAATAAGCTCCAAATCTCTGCTCCCATCTATCATCAATTACTGATGTAACTGCTGTAATATCTTAGATCTGGTTAAGAACTGAACGCTTCGCTGCATGGCTTTATATAAACGGCGCGTCCTTTAGCTTCAATCAACAGCCTTTCATTTACTGAAGCACTGCTGTGTTCATTTTTCACCTTTAAGCAGCAGCCTTCCTTTCACACATGGTAGCGATCCAGCTACCGCTCTGTGGAGAGTCATTGATGCGCTGCTGTACTGGGGTTTCTCTCTGAGCTGATATGGAATCTGTACCTTTTGTCGGAGCAGCTCCATGTAGCCCTTCAGCCGCTCGATTGGATTTTCCACGCCATCTTCGTTCACGTGATGTCCTGGAAATCGCCACTGGCTTATAAGCCCGTCCTGAGCCTCCAGTTGTTTTGGCAGCTGTAAACAAAACATTAAAACATTTCAACCTTCAGTGCCTCAGGGCGCGTCGTTTTATAAAACTTTTAGCTTTGAAGCCAAGAAAACCAAATGCCAGCTACGAACAGCTAAACAGGGGGCTGCATTCAGCACCAACTCCAAGCACCAAGCAGAACCTTTGCAGTACAACCCGTCACTCCTTATTTTTCAACAAACCTTTTTCAAAGCCATTCCCTTAAACGTGCTTAAGCAGCACTTAGAACCAGCTGCTGGCTTTAACAAGCCTGAAGCCATATGGACGGGTTAGGGTGAGCTCTGTACAGACATGGGCTGAACAATAATCAGTGAGGAAGAGGCTATCACTTCTAGGGGACAACTAGTCAAATATAACCTTCTTTTTTTTTTCTTGGTAAAGTGGCCTTAAGGTTTGTTGTTACATTTGGAGGAAAATGGGGGAAGCTTGAATGCCTGAGAAACCATCCAAACTGTGACATATGGAGGTGGCAGCATCATGCTGAGCAGAAGGGAAGGGTGCACTATACAATATATATGATAAGGAAAGGATCCTGATTTGGACCGCTGTGAAATTACACCTCATAACATCAGCAGAGAGGTTCGGGTTTGGAGCTTCCAAACTGTGCAAAACTTGAAGCAATACAGCATGATCAGGGCTCGATGTTTACCATCGCCCGATCTCCCGGGGCAAGTAGTTTTTATTGTTGGGAGAGTGCAAAAAAAAATTATTTATCACTCAAAATTACTTTAAAATCACCGACATTCGATGAAAACGACCCAGAAGCGTTGCCGGCGCCATTTTTGTTGTTTTGTGCACATTCTCGCATGATTTGAAAAAGCCGGGTGATTTTCTGCCAGATGCCGTGATTTTTGTCCACCTAGCGGTACTTTTGATATAGTTACCAAAACGACAAATGGCTGCATTTATTTTGTCAGGGAAAACTAATCCTGAGTCAGTTAAAAGTCAGGGAATTCTGAAATGATGTAAGACTGTGGAAACCCTGTATAAAATAACTCTGTATAATGATTCTCTAGAAAAGTCACATTATATTAATAGTATCATCTTGTATAAACATACCGTGACTCTAAAATAAAAGTTTTTCATTTGTGACATTGAATTCTGTCTTGTGATTTATCTTAAGTTTTCAACCTGTCAAGTTTTTTATAGATTTTTAACATTACGATTTATATTTTTCCAAGCACACAGTTTAAAGCAAAGTTTAGTTTGAAAAGAATGTGCAAGAAGGATTGAAAAGCATGTTAACTCGGTAATGTAGGCTTGAGTTCATTATCTGACGCATGCATATACACACCAGGAACCTGTAAACTTAAACAATACTGAATTACAAAAAACATTTAAAAAAAAAACATGTTTCATTGATATATATACAAAAATGAATATTAGGAACTATATTTATCAAACATTATACTGGGCAAGTAAAAATTGTTTCTGGGCAAATGAAATGTGAAAGTCACTTGCCCAAAGGGCAAGTGTTAAAAATCCTTAACGCCAACCCCTGATGATGTTTAGGCTGTTTATACAGGAAACCTGTGAAATGCTTCTAGCAATGCAGGAGTTCGGATTCTGGTGCAAATCGCACCAATGTGAGC